TGGAATCCCATTGTGACAGTAAGCATAGTACCTTGTTGCTGCAACTGACACGCCATGATAACCCCAAATCCATTCTGCATGTATATGTCGAAGTTTTCTTACATATCTTGTGTCAGCCGTCGCTTGAGTAAGACCAGTTGAAGGTTTCAGGAAATTCTTTTCTACCCATTGCTTGTTAACTGCATCCTTATCATTTACCGGATCTCTTAGATCTAGAATACCACTTGAATCTCCCATGTCCAGGTCACCTTTTAGCAGTCCACCTCTACTACTCATGAACTCATTTGTTGCCCATTTCTTATTAACAGCAGAACCGTCAGTTGTAGGGTCCCCAACCCTAGTTAACTCGTAATCGTTAACATCTAAATTACCTGATAAAACACCACCACCCCGTTTAAGAAACTGTGAGCACCATGAATCGAAGTCATAGAACCGTAAGAAACAGCACTGGAAGCCCCTGTTGACCCACTATTTAGTCCAGTAATACTATTACCAGCCATCTCAATATTACCGCTCATAGTAAGTCCGCTACTACTTGTAGAGCTCACACTGACATGATCCGTGACCCATTTTTTGGACACAGCAGAATTATCCGTTGTAGGAGCACCTAATTTTATAATCTCATTGTTTTTCATATCAAGGTCACCACCTAGGGACCTGCGTTTTTTGCTTCCCCAGCCTACATTATCCTGTACCCACTTTTTTGAGACAGCTGATGAACCGGCACTAGGGTTACCTAAATTTTTAATTTCATTTCCACTCATATTAAGAGCACCTGTCATAGAATGAGTACCAGCTACATCCACCAGGTTCCCGGCAAGTGCGTTGAGGTAGGCAAGATTCACAAGGTGGCTAGAGGTTACGGGGTCCTGTACACTTATAGGTGCATTTCTAAAACTAACAGTACCAGCAATATCTAGGAACCCTGTTCCATCTAACCGTAAAAATGTTCCTTCATTTAAACTAAACCAGCTTTTTGTAACAACTGACTGGGGAGTAGTTGGATCAGCAACATTTTCAATTTTATTTCCACCCATATCAATGTCACCCGTCATTGTAAATCCTGAAGTATTAACATGCGCAGATAATTTATCTTCCACCCACTTTTTGGATGTAGCCTCGCTATCAAGTCTGGGATCAATAAGATCAAACAACCTCCAACCTCCCATGGACACGTCTGCCTGCATAACCCCACCTTTTAGTCTGAAGTTATTATCAACCACCCACTTTTTTGTGACAGCAGACTGATCCTCAGTGGGGTCCTTAAGATTTTTAATCTCGTGGTTCTTCATATCAATATCACCATTAATATTAAGTCTAGATGCAGGTCTATTTAACATTCCAACTACCCAGTCCTTATTTGTCACTGACTTTCCAGTAGTAGGATTACCAACGTTCCTAACTTCATTTCCACCCATTTGAAGGTGTCCAGTCATTACATGTGTGCCGTCAATTCGGACGTAAAGGCCGGCTACATAAGAGTCTAGTTTTCTTATCTGCGACAGGGTCCAGTCCTTACTAACAGCAGACTTTCCAGTTGTAGGATCACCTAAAGCCTTTATTTCATTGGTTGACATATTGAGATCATTTGTAAGGATAAGTCCAGGTAGACTTGCATGTACATGTCTACGGCTGCCTTCAACCCAACTTTTACTGGCAGCGTCACCAGGATTAGTAGGATTATCAAGATTAGTTATCTTATTACCTCCCATGTCAATATCCCCAGTCATTGTAAACCCTGCCGGTTGAATTGTAATGGCAGCCTGTTTTATTATCTCATCATTCACCCACTTTTTTGTAACAGCTGAAGTATCATCTGTAGGAGCACCCAGACCTTTTACTTCATTGCCGTCCATCTCAATGTCACCTTTCATTGTAAATCCGTTTTTATCAAACACACTACCAGTTGTTGGATCTACCTCATTTACACCTTTAATATATCCCTTATAGAGAGCCATTTTATAGAATACATAATGTTTACAGTAGAATTCTCATCAGTATGAATACAGCTGCTGCACCAATCCCAGCTCCAACAACAACGCTGGCACTAGAAGTCCCACTACTACTGACAGCAGTTTTATAACCTAAGTTTTCCACTCTCAGTTTAGCCTTAAGGTGCCCAGGTGATTTCTTAGTCTGTTTTGAATATCCACTGAGAGTATCAAGGTGAGTAGTAGGTGTTGTATCCTGATGTTGCTTCTTAGGAGGATCAGGCTTTTTAACTCCAACATAGTTTACCTTAGTGTTAACTCCACGCTTCATATTATAAGAAGCATTTACAAGAATATTATTATATCCAGGAACGGGGTTCTTTAGAATGATTAGACTGGATGGAACTAAAACTATTCCAGGTGTGATAGCTGTATTAAGTATAACATTTGTGTCCCTGATAGCCGTTCTCATATTAGATAGAGTTACAACGGGATCCGCTTGTACAACACAATCGTGAACAATATTACCAAACTTTACCTGGGTAGAAAATGACTTTCCCATCTCACCTACAATTGGAGTTCTTGTTGATGCTTGTGCACCTAGTACGGAATACGAGAACGCCTGCACTGACTCATTTAGTAATAGTAGCCCAGTTTCGGTAATATTCTTCGGAACAACTAGGTTGTTAACAGCAATAAACCTTCTATAGTCAGACTTGCCTACCAGACTTACTGAAACCCTTTCTTCATAACTAATTTTTATCTTAATTAGAAATCCATTGACTGAGTTTATAGGGGACGCAACAACGTTCCTAACCGGATTGCTATCACTACCTCTCTTCCTAAGCCAGCTTGCTTTTTCATACTCAAGTCCGTTATCATAGGTGACTCTATAAGTATCAGTTTTATTTTCCCACTTACCAACAACTGGAATGTGACTCTTTACGGGACCCAACCTACTTAAATATGGTTTCAGCCTCTCAGGGTTGTACACAAATTTCCTGATAGTATAGTAAACATGAAAGTCCATAACACTAGTAATAACAGGATAAACATCATTACTAGGAGTCATATGACTAGTTGTGATTCCACTAAGATGTGTAGCAATAAATGCCCCGCATAGTGCAGCAAAATACGGCTTGTTATAATCAAACTTTACATCAACACCCTTAGTGGTAACGAGGCTTGATATACTCGGAAGTAGAAATCCACCTGCACCACCTGTTGTAGTAAAGAAGCTCGTAGCGTCAACATACAACTTAAAATTGTTAACATCCTTAGGCCATCTTATTTTAGGAAAGTAACTGTGACCGTCAACCGTGTCATCAGAATTTACCCCGTATCCAGTTCCCTTTCCGGAGGCCCACATTGCAGGCCACCCGTCAACTTCACCTGGTACTTCTAACGGGGGCTGTTTCATATCAACCATAGGTACAAACTGTGCGGGAGTAATAATTTCCTTAGTACCTGTGAGATAAGATGTGAATTCCCTATCCTTCTTAAAACCGTCATATCTAATGTCATATGAAGTTATGCCATCTAAGTCCACAAACCATGTAACAACTCCAATATCACCACTACTAGTAGTTTTTGCTTCAAACCTGAACCTATTCATGTCAGCGTAAGGATACCTTCTAACAAACCTAGCCCTCTCAGCATTCTCAGCTTTTTTACCAGCAATAGGATCAACATCATTTTTATCTTCTTTTCCATACTTTTTTTCATAATCTTGGTAAGACCTATAAGGCGACTTCCCAACGTCTCCTCCACCTAGTCTCATTCTTAATAACCTAACGTATGTTATTAAGATGAAGTTCACAATTTTACTACAGGGCTCGCACACTATCGTATCACTACAGAATTCAGTTCTAACGAGTAGTTATAATTCAGTCTTCATGAAGAGAGTTTCAGTATTCTGGGAATACTTCAATATAAGAGAACCAACAACTATTCTCAAGGTTAAAACAGCTGGTGGTGAAACTGACGTGATTGTCAGCAAGGGCTACTATACATTCGACAGTATAAGAAAATTACTTGAGAGACATGGTGTTAAACTAACATATTTTCCTGAAACGGCAGGATGTCAGATAGAAGCTGTAAAGCAGGACATTACAATAGAAACCAGGTTTTTAACAATGCTTGGCTTTAATAGATTTAGTAATCCAATGATCTTACTAAAAGGAAGGAGTCTAACTAGTGATAGCAAAGTTGACTTTAATAATGGTCTACGATGTGTAAATATACACTGCAATCTAGCTAATAACAGCTTCAACGTTAACACCTGGGGAAGACATAGCGATGTAATAACAAGCATTACAATCCCAACTGACAGACCATTATTAGGCTCGGTTGTTAGTTACATTGATGTTGAAAGCAGGATTTCAGTTATTAAGGGTTCGTTCTCGGAACTTGTATTCTACACGACAGATCAAGATGGGAAACCTATTGATATAGGTGAAGTGCTACTTGAGATGTACCTTGAGTAGTTAGCTTACATTGGTTAATATAAGATGGACGATGATATTATAAAAGAACAGGGACTACGAGATATTTACTACAATCCTAAAACTGGATTCCAAACACCAGAGAAACTATATCTGAGAGCAATATCGGAAGGACTTAAAGTAACCAGAAACCAGGTCAAGAAATGGATAAACGAGCAAGACACATACACTAGGTACAGACAAGTGTTTAGGAAACATAAGTTCAGACAGACGTACGTTCAAACTTTAGGTGAACAGTTACAAATGGATTTAGTTGACATGACAAAGTATGATGACAAGAACAAGGGATACCGATGGATTCTCACATCAATCGAAATACTGAGTAGGTACGCATTCACGGTACCAGTGTACAGGAAAAACGCGACATCAATGAAGGACGCAGTTGGTAACATTCTAGAGCAATTTAATAATCATTTTGGTAAATACCCGAAATTCGCCCAGTTTGATCAAGGCACAGAGTTCTACAATAAAGATGTAAAGTCATTGCTTAATAAACATAACATT